ACCAACAACAGCCGGCCACGTCAACCCCTCTTCCAACGGCTATATTACAACGACTATATTTCGGCAACACTGGGATACCCCTGAATGATAGCCTCCGGCTATCACTCACCACAGCCTTCAACCAACGAATTCCAACATAGCGCCTTCGAGCTGGCAGCAATAAGAGCCTTCGATTGTCAATGTTGCCACTCCTCGACGCGTATACTGGATGGTAGCCCCCGGCCACCACCTGCGAGAGGCTTCGAGCGAATAACAGTATAAGCTTTCGGCTAACCCCTCGGGGAACCCAACAACACATTATAACTCCTTCAGCCCGAACTTGCCTTCGGCCTAAAGGAGTGGGGGACTGGGATACACCCCTCGGGAATCATGCAGGACAAAAATTTCTCATGCAAAGATTTACAATCGACGCATGTAGCATCCGGGTGAACATCAAAGCAGAAACTTTCGGGTACGTACTTCAACACACCCTCCGGCAGAGGTGGAGCATCAAAATTTTTCCCCGAGCCACTTTGCGGAAACGAAGCAACCCTCATCACAACACACGCAGGCAATACATCCATGCTTTCCTCAGAAAACCCTCGACGTGTGAGGGACTGAGGAAAGCCTTCTGCGATCATACAGGTGTTACGCCTCCCTCAGAAAACCCTCGACATGTGAGGGACTGAGGAGAGGCTCCGGCATTCATACAAACGTTATACTTCCTTCAGAAAACCCTCGGCATGTGAGGGACTGGGGGAAGCCTTCGGCAATCAGCAGAAGACGAGTTCTCCAACAAAGGCACCCAACGAAATGATGCAGCCTCCGGAAGAACCAACACGTCTACTCCTTTTCCCTCAAGTACCTTTCGGCAAAAGGAGTGAGGGACTCCTGATGGAGTATATGGCCCGGGAACCCCCGGCCCATGGACTCCTACTTCTCCTACACAAGTCCATTGAGCCCAGAGAACAACTCAGGCCCAAATGCAACGGCCCGAGCCTCAAAGTAACCCAGAACACACACTGGGGTGCCTTCGGCCTCCTTGGCCGAAGGCTCCAAAACTCACAGGATAGCCTTCTCTAGCATAAGAAGCTACTGGGAGAAAACGGCGAAAAACATGAGCCTTCGGCATTATCGAGCCCTCGGCATCAGAGAGGCCTTCGGCTGAACAAAGCCTTCGGTCACACAAGGCCTTCGGCTACACAGGGGTCCTCGGTTACACGGAGCCCTCGGCTACACCAGAAGCCTTCGGCCAAGCATGCTCAATCATCGAAGATTCCTTTTGGAGACAGCCAACCACCGCATTTAATGCCACGTCACATCCGCCAACCGCATTCAATGCGGTGAACGTACCACTGCCGGTGCCAACCGGCTGATGTGACCCTTCGGCCGTTGGATTACTGACACGTGTACCCTCATCGCATTTATTGCTGCTATAAATAGCAGCCCATTTCTCCTTGTAATCGACATAATCTACATCCAACTTCCACACGCTGAGTTCATTTAATAAAATCGACTCTCTCTCCTCCTATTTACTCTGACTTCTCTCTAAGTTATTCCCGTAATAACCCCTCGGATAAGATACCCCCGGGTAGACTATCCATCATTAGTGTTTGTATTTTTTTTTTTAAAAAAAATACTAAGATAGGAATCTTTAATCAAATAAATAAGGATTTTGTATGTTATGTAGATTATATTTAAATTTTTTAGTCTTCTAAATCGAGGGGCCTTGTGCGGTAGCACTTCTTGCACGCCCTCATCTACAATGTTGTTCGTAAGGTCACTACATAGGCTAATTTAAGCATACAAGTCGTTCCTTAAGTCTATTCAAATTCTCTCATAAATACATATATAGGCAGCTCAAAGAAGCCAGAAACATTTCAAAGAATCATGTCACATTTCAAAGAATCATACTCCACATATATATAAGCAATTCAATAAATTCATATCACATTTCAACAATTCAATCATATATCAACAGTATGAAAACTCACAATCCTCACCGTGTTCCGTTCATAAAGGTTTTTACTTTCCCCCCAATTTTTTTCTACTAGGTATATTTACTCCAAAATTTTAATATAAATGTTTTGTATGTTTTTTACACTACAGTTCGTCCTAGCCCAACGGAAATTCTCACGTTTGCCACTGATCATAACTATGATTCCTAATTTTTTTAAGATAGGCAGCAGGACCGTCTTTTAGCATGTTAATTAGGTTAAACAGAACAGGGTCACACTTTCGATGGGCCCCCAATATTAATAAGACACTAGTAGTACTCCCTCTGTCCCTAAATTTACTTCCATTTCACTTTTCGAGAGTCAACTTAAATCACTCTTAAACTCTTACTTTTTGTATCAAAACTTTATGAAAATTGATTTTTTTTGTACAGGCTTTGTAGCGGGTTTAATGTAGTTTCTGAATATGTAAATTTTATTTACTAAAAATAATCCGAGTTTTCACAGGGATCATTTAACTTTATCGTCGGTCAACTTTCGTAATCCGCAATCGGAAGAACATTCAGGGACGGAGGGAGTAGTATTTTTAGGTCACTAATATAAATTAATAATATAATATAATATAATATAATATAATATAATATAATATAATATAATATAATATAATATAATATAATATAATATAATATAATATAATATAATATAATATAATATAATATAATATAATATAATATAATATAATATAATATAATATAATATAATATAATATAATATAATATAATATAATATAATATAATATAATATAATATAATATAATATAATATAATATAATATAATATAATATAATATAATATAATATAATATAATATAATATAATATAATATAATATAATATAATATAATATAATATAATATAATATAATATAATATAATATAATATAATATAATATAATAGTGTATACTATCTTATATGAATATGGGTTGTAGCTAAATTCATACTCCATTACTCTGTATAATAATGCACTCATAAATTGAAACACTTTGCAATTCAAAAGATGTAGAGATTAATTATTTTAATGTGGAAAATTACTACATGTAATTTTTAATTGCATTATTTAATAAGTATTCAATTGATTTGAGTATAATAAAAATTTAGACCAAGAATATTTTTTTAGTTTTTTATGTTAAAACAAGGCCTCAAATTTGCATTTTGAACGGGGGCCTCCAAATTCATTAGATGACTCTAATAGGCAGTATTAGAAATTCCTTGAGCTCAATGAGCTCATGTTGTTTATGAACTCATGTCAGAATCCCGGTTCCCACCAACCACCAATATTTGGAAACGAAACGACTACCTTAAGTGTCTGCATCCCCTAAAAGAAGTTGGAAGCCCTCCGGAATAATAAGTCATCACAAGTAGTCAAGATTCGCTCTATCAACTACCCTAAATACCAAAAAGGACTAAATTTTGAGTGACTAAGAACTACTACTACATCAAAGAGGATCAATTATCTGAATGTCGGGATGGATACCGACCTAAGAGGATCATATCTATCATATGCAGAGTCATGGGTTCAAATCCTTGCGGCTACATTTTGTGTTTATATATTGGGTTTGCACTTTTGTATAAGTATTTGGATATTTGTGTTTAATTTTAGCCATATCTTAACCCTTTATAAATGTTTCAAACAATCACTATCCTCATTTTAACAAATAATTGATACATTTTTTGCAATATATTATAAATTTATCTACACATAGTATAATATAATTTTTTTCTCTTAATACCCGATTGCTTATTGCACTATATAAAAAATACATGATTATACATTTGCAATTTAAATTATTCTAATGACATGCATTACTTGTGCCATGTTTAATTTATTTTTTATTAATATAATATCACTAAAGTACAAATAATGTTATTAATATTTTTTATTGCATGTAAAAGTGAAATTTTAAGAATACAGAAAATGTTTAAAATGTCATAAATGTGAATATAGTTTTTGGATGAAGTGAAAAGTTACATATCAATGTTTTTGTTGAATAAAAAGGTCATTATTTATAGCTTATTTTAAAGCTCATTATCTAATATCTCCCTTGTTGCCTATTAGTAATGTGCAAGTGTCTTTGGTGTTCCACTTTATATACTCCGCACGTAAATTATGAGAGGTACATGTTGAAATATTTATGTAAATCATTATTTCCCTATCATTTCATATGTAATGTTCCCGTTGGTGTAAACATGTTTACATAGATTACATACTTCCTATTACCCATGTGTGAGTGTCTTTGGTGTTCCACGTTACATACTCCGCACGTAAATTATGAGCGGTACATGTTGAAATATTTATGTAAATCATTATTTCCCTATCATTTCATATGTAATATTCCCGTTGGTGTAAACATGTTTACATAGATTACATACTTACATGTTTTGCATGGCTCATGCACATGTCTCCCTCTCTTCTCTCACACTTATTTAATATATATATGCCCTACATATGCTATGGACTAAGCAAAGAAGTTATTTTCTTTCATATAAGGTTTCATATATACTTTCAATGACTCCTCTCTTTTAGATACAATCCCTAATTTTGACAGTACAAATTTCAGTATAGTTTATTAGGTAGTCACACCACACGGATTATTAATCTTATTCACACAAAATCTTTCTAAAAGTATTTTAACATGTATGTAGTACCTATTCGCAAGAACGTACTCCGTACACATTATGTGTATTTTATACTTCGTATATTTTAGTTGCGAACATAATTTCATCAGCTCCTTTTAAGGGAAATGAGTATTATTGTCAATATAATAATTATTATTTGGTATAAGAACATTGTTTATGTTATAAGGCATGATCAACTTTATTCTTACAAAAATCTTACTTTTATAACATGATTAATAATTTTTTTTTTATTTCTGCAAATGATGAAACTCCATATATAAATACGTAGGAAATATTATCCCCCCTACTTAAAAAAGAAAATGTTAAACGTACTTGCATCGATTCCCTCATTTTGCAGAGGCGCATAGCCGAGAGAGATGGTGGTTACCAAAGAGGTCGAATCTTTGCTTACTGCTAAACTTGTTCCTTCACATCTGGTAAGTTCTGTCATTTTGTTTTACGTTTATAAGCACGCAGTTCAAGCTATCACCCAACACGCGTATCATTCACGATTCACGAACCAGCACGGAGTAATGTGTACCCTAAGATAATCATCAGTTGTAAGCTGTAGAACACATCGAATTTCTAGAAAAGCAGCTCTGAAATTTGTAAGAAAAATACCTTGTTAATGGACAATGTGAAGAAAATTGAAGGTCTTCAAGGTCTGAATCAAATAAGATACTCCCTCCGTCCCATTTTGGTTGTCCTACTTTCCTTTTGGGTTGTCCCAAAATGAATGTCTCGTTTCCTTTTTGGCAAGAAATATGTGGTCCTTATCATTTTTCACTTTATTCTACTAAAATCTCAACCACAACTTTTACTTTTCAACCACTTTATTAATAATCGTGCCAAATTGAAAGTGGACAACCAATATGGGACGAAGGTAGTATATGTTATGTTTAAGTTTCTTATCATCCCACCTAGAACCAATATTTAACAAGTATGAAGTTTAGATAAAATGAAGATGAATAATATTACAATCAATTGATATAGATTTATATTCTAAATCATCAATTGATCACATGAGTCTTCTCAGGCGAAGTTTTCCTATGAAGATGATGGATTCAAGTCCAATCAAGCAATTACTAACTTTGAAGTCACATGTTGTATCATACCCGTTATGGACTTATACATCGGTAGATTCTATGATGCCCTTAAGGTACCATACCTTTGTCCACGTGGACCAATCAGAATGATGCACTTGAATTATTTAAATCTAAATAAAAATGATTTAATGGTATAGACTAATCAAATGAGTGGTAGGTACGATACCTCATTTTTTAAATGAGTACCGGAGTTGTGACCCCATCCATTTTATGTTGCAATACCCACTTTGATGATAAAATTTATCCATTTATAATTGCCAAGGAACAACTGTTGCAACCTAGCTAGGTGAAGATGAAATCTTGGAGATGAAATCCGAGATGAAATAAATAGTTTTATTTGCAAAAACTAGACAAAAATGTAGATGAATCATGCTAAATGATCTTAAGGGACATGATGTATAATGATGAATTGAATGTATAAATTAGGATCTTTTTGGTTTTCTTTCTGAAGATCAATTTTCAGTCTCTTACTTTAAGCAAATAAAACAAATAATAATCAAACAATTTACAACCAACTATATTCAAAAATTTGTGGACTATAATTAAGTAATTAACTGAGAACAAACAATGGGTGGAAATAGAACAACAGAGGAATAATAAAGAAGCAATTTTGGCCATGAAATAAAACTTTACCTTCGGTAATTTTATATTTAAACGGAATTGTTTGTTAGAATTAAATAAACAACTACTCTTGATTATTTACTATGTTGTAGATGAAATTTTCACATATAGATCAAATGTATTACCCAATACAACTTTAGCTGTATGAAAATAGCCTTAATCTATAATAATATAAAGTAACAAGTTGCGACACATTGATTTTCCCTCCAATTAGACATATAATGTTTCATACCCATTAAAAAATTAGAGTTACATGAATATTGGAGTAATTGGAATGTTTTCAATTCAAAATAATCTATGATGATGATGATGATGATGATGGTAGATAATAATCATTATTTTCATTTTAATATATTACTACGTAATAGTGATACATAATTAGCAGGATTTCACTTAACGCAATGAAATAAATCAGAACGTTTACAATATCTATAATAATCTATAATAATAATAATAATAATAATAATAATAATAATAATAATAATAATAATAATAATAATAATAATAATAATAATAATAATAATAATAATAATAATAATAATAATAATAATAATAATAATAATAATAATAATAATAATAATAATAATAATAATAATAATAATAATAATAATAATAATAATAATAATAATAATAATAATAATAATAATAATAATAATAATAATAATAATAATAATAATAATAATAATAATAATAATAATAATAATAATAATAATAATAATAATAATATAAAGTAACAAGGTGTGACACCTTGCTTTTCCCCCCAATTAAACATTTAATGCTTCATACCCATTAAAAATAAGAGTTACATGAATATTGGAGTAATTGGAATATTTTCAATTCAAAATAATCTATAATGATGATGATGATGATGATATATAATAATTATTATTTTTTTTATTATAATAATAGTGATACATAATTGGCGGGACTTCACTTAACGCAAAGAAAAAAATCAGAACGTTTACAATATTTTGATTTAAATGTTTTCAATTATAAGCTAGACCACACCATATTAAAAGAAACTACACCAAATCAGATCAAATTTAAATACAATAGACTTGATCAGATCAGAATAAGTTAGTAAAATGTTGAGATATATTATCCCGGTCCGTTACTGTTCAGGAGCCCAAGGCATCGCCCCAGCTTGGAGCCCGAATGACAAGGTCCATTTCAGCCTATTAGGCATGTTTCGGGGACGAGCATCTTCCACCCGGAGGCCGAGGATCTAAAGAAGACCATCAAGAGCCAAGGGCCGTGGACGAGCATCTTTCATACCGCATGCCGAGGGCCCGAAGACGATCATCTATCGTCTAGTGGCCTAGGCCCGGGGACGAACATCCTCCCCCCCGAAGGCCGTGGGTCTAAAGAAGACCATCAAAGGCCAAGGGCTTGGAGACGAACATCTTCCACCCCAAGAGCCAAGGGCCGTGGACGAGCATCTTTCACCCCGGATGCCGAGGGCCCGAAGACGATCATCTATCGTCCTGTGGCCTAGGCCCGGGGACGAGCATCTTCCACCCGGAGGCCGAGGATCTAAAGAAGACCATCAAGAGCCAAGGGCCATGGACGAGCATCTTTCACCCCGGATGCCGAGGGCCCGAAGACGATCATCTATCATCCAGTGGCCTAGGCCCATGGATGAGCATCCATCACCCAGAGGCCAAAGCCCGGGGACGAACATCCATCACCCGGAGGCCAAAGCCCGGGGACGAACATCCATCACCCGGAGGCCAAAGCCCGGGGACGAACATCCATCACCCGGAGGCCAACGCCCGGGGACGAACATCCATCACCCGGAGGCCAAAGCCCGGGGACGAACATCCATCATCCAGAGGCCAAAGACTGGGGACGAGCATCCCCACCCCGGAGGCCAAGGGCATTGAGGCGCGCAACACATCCTGAGACCGAGCATGCCCAGGCTGAGCATGTTGAGGTAGAAATGTCCCAAGGAGACCCAACCTAGCAACTGGAGGTCAAATGTCTCTAGGAATAGGCCGAGGATTGTCACTGTATGACGACTCCGAGGTCTGCTACCGGGTCGTGCATCAAAAGCAAAGACACATCTAGGCCGAGTTTCTAGGGATGAACGTCCAAAGGAAGTTGGGTCAGGTTTCTAGGGACTAATCTTCCTAAGCATGTTGGGCCGAGCATCCTGAAGGAAAATTCCAGAGCCCCAACAACGAGAGATCGAGCGGGCTGACCGTCAAGGGGCCGAATGTCCAAGGAAGCCCAACCTAGCATCTGGAGGTCGAACGTCTCTAGGAATAGGCCGAGGATTGTCGTTGTATGACGACTCCGAGGTCTGCTACCGGGTCGTGCATCAAAAGCAAGGACACATCTAGGCCGAGTTCCTAAGGGTCGAACGTCCAAAGGAAGTCGGGTCGGGCATCCGTGGGCCGAATGCCCCAATCCCTCGCACCTAAGCGAATGCATTGAATTAAGCCTTTGCTCCGAAAGCCAAGGCCATGTGCAAAGAAGGCAGGGGAAGAGCGTAGGCAAGAGTATACTTTCTCGAGCAAATTCGCACGCTCACTACTCAAGAAACTGGGGGACTTGTGTTGAGGTATATTATCCCGGTCCGTTACTGTTCAGGAGCCCAAGGCATCGCCCCAGCTTGGAGCCCGAATGACAAGGTCCATTTCAGCCTATTAGGCATGTTTCGGCCCTTTGGGCCCATTTTGGGCTTACTTGGCCCATTAGGTTAGGTTTCCCCCTTCCCTTACCCCTATAAATATGGGGCTCAAGACTCCATGAATGGGAGCTCAAAATGTACTATGTAATGGTGAGGAGAGTTCTAATGAGAAAGAGAGGGCTTGAACATTAGCCTAAAAAGTCCCGTGGTTTTCTCCCTTTCGGGTTTCCACGTAAAAACTGAGTGTTCATACATATATTTACTATATCGTGTTGGATTAAACTCAACATAAAATATACATACATCCGAAAATTACCAGACCAGATTAGTTTAGGTCATCAGACCAAACTTAAGCGGGCCCGATCATAAAACTTTAGTCTAATTAAAAACATCATTGTTATTGTCTTGCAGTACAGTAATAGTTACTCCGTATATATATTATTAATAACAATAGTCTTCTATAATAATATAAAATAACAAGGTGTAGCTTGCGTTTCCATATTTATTGATTTCAAACTCATTTTCTCTAAACAATAATGTGTAAATTAATAGTTAGCAATTAGTAATTATAATGTGAAAATTTTGATTTTAAAAGTTATACTATCAATTAACGTTTTTGCTTATTGGATGTTTACAAAAGATTGATCAGTAACATTTTTAGCGTTCCTCAATTGCATGAATCCTTTGTTATTACTCCGTATATTTTATAAACACAAATACGTAACAAAATATTTATATATCTAATGAATATTATTTTTATTATTACGAAGTGATCCCAACTTTATCCAACTTTGTGCTCTGAAAAATTCATTCCAAATTTTTAACATATGTAAATCCGAGTTAGTTAAACTATTCATTAGATTTTCACTATTAACTAATGACATGGTTAAACATATAATATATGCATCCCGTGCAGGGCACGGGTAAAGAATCTAGTATGGTATAATAGTACCTATTTTTTCAAGATTATTAGATATTTAGGTTTTTCTCTGCCAAATTCCAACCATAAGGAAATTGAATTTTAGACGTGGATTACGTTTACATAATTCTTTAGCTCCATAGCAGCCAAATTTTAGCTCCTAGTCTGCCACCTTAGACAGTTAAACATGTTATTCTCGCGGTTAAACACATGTATAAAACATTGTTTTGTCTATAAATAACCCTACAATCATTCTCTATTTATAGAACAAATAAAGAATCAAAAGCTTTCAAGAAAAATTCCTAACATAATTCATAGAGGGGAAGTAATCCGTATCAAGTAGATTTTATAAGAACGCTTGAACAGATTCATGTTGGATTACCTATTGAAAAGAACTATTTTGTTCTTGCGTATGTGAATCAACGGTTTCAATGTTCACTTAACCTTGAGGACAGTTCCCATGTTGGTGGTGGTTTGTGTCAATTGTGTGAAAATGTGGAACAATTCTTTCATATCTCTTAGGAACTGGACATTTAATGTTGAATGTTTGTTGCTGTAAAGTCAGTGCTTGAGGTATGATAATAAATGGGTCTCCCACTGTCTGATTAGAGCTTTATCATTTGAGTTTGAACTGCACATGTAAGTTATTGTTTGAGTGATGTAATTGAGTGATGTAATCTTAAAATTGGAAGCCAACCTGAAGAATACTATGTCACTAATAATGATACATTGACATTGTACCAGTGTTAAATAGTTATTTGAGAGTTTTGGGCTCATTTGTATTTTTTTTTAATTCTGAAGGGTAATCCAGCAGCCCAAAATGTATTGAACTAGCGCCTAATAATTCTAAATACAAACCCCAGATTACTTTTCACAGCCCCCGATTCGTTTTACAATTATGAAAAGTCGTTTTTATCCTTAATTTTACTTTCATCTACGGTCTTCTACGTATTAATTTCATTACTTACACGCTAACTATGGAGTATTATATAGATGGTCTGGAGTGCGGAGCCCAAACAATCGAATGAAATGGCCGCTCACTGTGTCTCGACGATCCTGTCGGCCACCGCAGTAAGTCCGCCAAATTCGCACAGGTGTATTTGAACGGTGTTCCGACCCGAATCTCACTGCAATCTATCCATTCTGGATCCTTTCTTTCAAAGCAACCCATTAAATTAAATCAATTTAATTTAAATGATATCCATACATTCACATATCTATCCTCATCTGCATCCACTTTCTATTCGGTAGCATATGCTCCCTAACGTGTAGTAGTACATTTTTTTCGTTCTTGTATGCAATCAACTGGTTTTTCTTTATTGCAACTCCGATTACCAGTTCAGACAAAAATGCCGTGTTGAGGAGAGCATGGGCAGCGGATAAATGTGTTGAACATGACAACATTTGGCTTAGTATTGATATATCAGGTCAAATGTCCACGATTAAGGAATCAGTCGAAAATCGGAAGAAGAAGCTCTCTGGCTCGGCTTCTGGATAACGATTAAATTTGGGTTATAATATTGAAGGACAGTTTTGGAAATCCAAAGATTTTTATTTATTATTTATTAAATGGTGGCTGTATATAGCAAAATGGGGGCTGTGGTTAGAACCACCCAAATCTTAAACCCAAAATGTATTGAACTAGGGCCTAAAATCTTAAGCCCAAAAATGCCCAACCCACAAACTTATTTTGCCACAAACTCTTCTGCCTCGAACAACAAATTATTTTTAAATTTTCTTTACTAGTAATGAATTAAAAATACTAATGGTCAAAGTTGTGCGTTGGTGACTAGTATATTTTAAGAACACATGTAGTACTTCGTATATTTTATGCTCTTCAATCATTAAAAGTCACAAAGAGATTGTAGTTGTAAACGCGGGTCACTAGTTCTTGTCTATGTATCTCATTGGCTAGGAAAAGTTGACCTTCATTCAGCTCATCATCCCTAATTAAACCACTTAGAACATATCTCTCTTACTATATTTTGGTTAGGGAATATAATGGAATAAAGAAAAACGACTCACCAAATTGTCTGTGCTTCTTTGTTATGAAGCAGTACTCAGTCCATGCACTTTTTAACACGATTTTTATCATTGATCATTTGAAAACAGTTTCTCTGTTCTTTAGTATGGGGGTAACTTTGCGTACATCTGGGGCCCTTTACCCCACCTTTGCGACATATGGTAATGTTGTTGTTGTAAAAATGTACGACAAGTACAGTGTCTAGATGTAGACATTGTTATTGACATTGACGAGAAAAACTTACCAAAAACTCATTAAACCGTGGATTAACCTGCACAAAAGCGGGCTCGGGTCGGGCTTGGGTCTGGTTTTTCATAAGTTTTCTGCCCATCGTGTGTGGGCGGGCCCGGCCCGAAAAAACGGGCCTAACCCCATGTCCGTACCGCCCGTAAGAGCGGGCCGGGTCGTCCACCGCGCTGCCGGGCCTGGGAAAACTTTAAATTTTTCAAAATTATATAATTTGTTTAATACTTTATAAATAATATTACAACATTTACAAAATTGCTAATACGCTTATAATGTATATAGGCCTTTCATCACATACACAAAAAATATTTACACAAAAATAATAATGAGAATGTATATCTAAAATTTAGAATTCAAATGCACAAAGTATTATCTTTAAATACAAACATAGATATTATATTGGTTGGACTATTTGTTAAGAACTAAAATATTAACTTTAAACATTATAAACTATAAATATGTATACAGATAAATTGGTAAATATAAAAAATACATGTGTACATGTAAATAAATACATAAATTAGTATATACTTTTTTTTTTACATAAATTAGTATATACAAAAATATATATGTATATATACTAAATGTAGCGGGCCGGGCTTATCGGCCCGAACGGGCCTACACCCTAACCCAAGCCCGCTCATATGTTGTTGCGGGCCGGGCCAGGGCCGGGCCAGTGGGTAAATATATATGCCCAAGCCCGTTAATTTGTGCAGGCGGGCTGGGCGGGCCGGCCCGGTTTTGTACAGGTCACGGCGTGGAAAGAATGAGAGAGAAATGTAATAAAGAATTTCTTTTGGGTTTATCTCTCTCTTGCCACATATCACATATGCATTGTACACATATATGGAACATAGCTGACATAAGTATGCATGAACATATTCAGGTTGAATGGTTGTGTAGTTATTTTGTTGAGGAATGAGTTATTTTAGGTTTAATTAGAGCTTTTGCACTTATACCTACTACTGAACATACTATCTCCCTTCTTTTTTAGTTGCAACATTGGTAAACTTCGCACTATTCATATACTCCACTTTGAATTGACTACATTTATTTATTAATGTACTCTCACCATCCCTTAAAACTTGGGCAAGTGTGACCTGCATGAGAATTAATACAGTAAAACATCTGTGGTTCAATTTTGTGCAGATGAGAGAGAATTAATTGGAACCACAAATTCTTTACTTAAAAAAGAAGTGACAAAGTTAGTGGGACAACCAAAAGAAGAAAGTTGACAAAGTTTTAAGGAGAGAGTTATAAATTAATATTTTGAAAACTATTGTTAAATTCCTCTTGTTTTAAATTTTCAAAAGCTGAATTTTTAAATTTTTTTACTATAAGAAATGGAAAGTATTAATGGTCACACCTTGTTTTGGCAAATGTGAAAAGTGAACCGTTATAATTAAAAGAGAACGGATGAAGTATCTATTATGCTGTAGTTTGGTGGTGTAATCTTAAAAGTTGGAAACCCACGCCCCAAGCAATACAATGCCCAGACGCAATGCATGCTGAGTCACTAATAATGATTTTTTTTAACCCGGTAAGCAAACCACCAAAGTCAGTGGGGCAAATACCGGGGAACATTTGTCAGATATTATTAAAAATAGTATTAAAACATGAACAAATGATGAGGGGGACTAGGCCAAAACCTCATGCATACAAAATTAATAATGAAGTCTAAATGATGGAATCCCAAAGAGGTCAATAAAGTAAGCCTTCCTAGCTCGATTCGAAAGATCAGAAGCCCTGTAGTAGGCCTGCAACTGAAATTGGGCTTGATCCGCAAGATAGTGTGCGGCCCAATTGGCCTCCCTCCATACGTGAGAAAAGGAAACACCCTTCCCTGTTGTCTGAACTGGCATTTCCAAAATTGCAGCTCTCCATCTTCCATGTCTTCCATCAGCGAAAAAATCTACAGCCATCATCGAGTCGAGCTCCACATCAAAATCAGAGAAGCCTGCGTCAATTGCCCACTAATAATGATATATTGATATGTTGACGTTTCACTGGATTTTACTTTTTAGAAATTGTTTGGGCTCATTTTTAAGTTTTGTTTTTTTTTTTTGCACAACGAAATCTTAAGTATTATTAATGAAGTCATGGCTTAAAGCCTGCATAATACAAGTAGGAGGAATCGAGAGCCACACATGGCTGTCAGACAAAGAAACGGCTGCTCGAGCAAGAGTGTGAGCAACACGATTCGCAGACCGCCGTATAAAAGCAATAGAAATGCTATTAAAATCTTTCATTAAATCTCTAACATCTTCCACTATCAAGCCAAACTGAGCAACACCACCTCCGTTATAAATAGCAGAGACAACTTGAGAAGCATCAGACTCGATGTCCACACAATCCCAACGGTTCTCCTTCAGCCAGCTCAACGCCTCACGGACCCCTAAAATTTCGGCTTCTTTGGGTGAAATATTCCCTTCCCAAGGCTTAGCACCAGCAGCCACAAACTGACCCGCTGCATCCCTCACCACCCACGCTAGTCCCCGCTTTCCACCCATCCCGGTAGCCGCATCAACGTTGACCTTCATTCGGCCCTCCACGGGTTTTTTCCATACCTCCTCAGCCCTCCTTTCAGTCCGGTTCAAGCACTCCCTGCCTTGTTCTTGCGCTGCACGCCACCCAAATAGAACAGATCTCGCTACAGCAATGATTTGATCAACTCCACAAGCTTCAGCATGCCAAACCATCCTATTCCGTCCCTGCCATAAACTCCAACAATACCATGTGGTGTTGGAGTTTAAAGTTAGGGCCTAAAAATTGGAGCCTAGAAATGCCCGACCCAGAAACTGCTGGCCTTGGTGGTCACTCCAATTGTCCTCATCGTGGATTCAAAAGTAACCATTCATTTTCCCATCAATTACAACTCAATGGAATTTAGGATGTCTGGGTGGAGCAAGACTATTGAGTATTGAATGTGTGAGTCTAAGTAGTAATTGTTCAGGAGAGTACATTCGGATTCCTGTCCGTGGTTCCAAATGACCAAACCAAACTGGAACTGAACAGATGGCCTGGTCCTAAAACGCATCTGTGTTGCGGTTAATTTTCCGTTTCCATTTAACCAAAATTTGGTGACAGGGCCTTACAGGTGTACGTTAATAATGGCAGCCTACGAGTAGTCTCTTGTATAGGGATGTCAAAAAAATCCGACCCGCAATGACCCGCCCTGGCCCGAGACATTTGGGGCGGGTCCGCCCCACCCCGTCTTGCAAATGGGGAGGGTCCGCCCCGCCCCGCCTATACAATGGGGCGGGTCCGGGTATTAGAATTGACCCGTTCTGCCCCGACCCGACCCGCTCAATATATAAATATACATACTTTTTCTTAACTTATACTACAAATATACTTCAACATACATATGTGTGTATACAATAAATCATAAATTCTTTGATCTTATAATATATGAATATATATTAGAATGAGATGCACGACGGATTATCAATGTCTTCTTTATATATATAGAATTTTAATACATTTATTCAATTATTAATATAACTAATTAGATTAACTATTCAAGTTTGAGTAATTTTTTCTTAATTTTTAGCGTATCATGAATTTGATTTAATATATTGAGTTTTAATTATTATTTAGAGATAAACATTATGTAGATTCAATTGGTAACAACTTCCTACAAATAAAAATAAAAACTAGCTAATTAGGTTGTGGCGGGGCGGACCCGCCCCGCATGGGGCGGGTCATGGGTCAACAAGTTTGGACCCGTGCAGGTCACGGGGCGGGGCGGGCCCGCCCCGCCAAGTTACGGGGCGGGTCCGGGTCTTGCAATACCCGCCCCGCCCCGACCCATTGCCATGCCTAGTCTTGTAAAACTTGAAAAGTGTGATTACATCTTTCTTTCCACGTGAGCCCTGTTTGGATTAGAAATTATTCTAATGCTCTCATTCTTTTCTTTTCAGGCAGTAACTGACATATCTAGAGGGTAAGTGTGTGCCTGTATACAACATCTTACTTTGTTTTGTATTTGTGTTTTTAATCCGTAACTGGGTGACATATTATTATTCTTGATAAAGATGTGGTGCAGGCTTCGAAGCTGAGATTGTTTCATCAAAGTTTGAGGGCAATAGGTTGCTAGAGAGGCATCAAATGGTTAATGATGCACTCAAGGAAATGTTGGGAGATATCCATGCTCTCTCCATAACCAAAGATCATACGCCTGATTCACCCACACCGTCAATCAAACCCCAACAAGAAGCTCAAAAGACTGATTCACCCAAATCGCCAATTAATCCCGAGCGAGAAGCTCAGAAGACTGATTCACCCAAACCGCCCAAACCCCAGCGAGAAGCTCAGAAGGATGATTCACCCAAACCGCCAATCGAACCGCAACGAGAAGCTCAGAAGACTGATTCATCCACACCGCCAATCAAACCCCAGCGAGAAGCTCAGAAGCCTGATTCATCCAAGCCGCCAATCAAACCCCAACAAGAAGCTCAGAAGTCTGATTCATCCAAACCGCCAATCGAACCCCAGCGAGAAGCTCGGAAGACTAATTCAACCACACCGCCAATCAAACCCCAGAAAGAAACTCAAAAGCTTGATTCATCCACGCCGCCAATTGAACCCCAGAAAGAAGCTCAGAAGACTGCTTCACCCACGTCGCCAATCAAACCCCAACGAGAAGCTCAGAAGCCTGATTCATCCAAACCGCCAATCAAATCCCAACGAGAAGCTCAGAAGCCTGATAATTCACCCAAACCGCCAATTGAACCCCAGCGAGAAGCTCGGACGATTGATTCATCCACACCGCCAATCGAACCCCAGCGAGAAGCTCAGAAGCTTGATGCATCCAAACTGCCAATCGAACCCCAGCGAGAAGCTCAGAAGGCTGATTCATCAACATCGCCAATCAAACCCCAGCGAGAAGCTCAGAAGCCTGATTCATCCAAACCGCAAATCGAACCCGAGCGAGAAGGTCAGAATACTGATTCATCCACACCGCCAATCAAACCCCATCGAGAAGCTCAGAAGCCTGATTCATCCAAACCGCCAATCGAACCCCAGAAAGAAGCTCAGAAGACTGCTTCACCCATGCCGCCAATCAAACCCCAATGAGAAGATCAGAAGTCTAATTCATCCAAACCGCCAATCAAACCCCAGCGAGAAGCTCAGAAGCCTGATTCATCAAAACCGCCAATCGAACCCCAGAAAGAAGCTTAGAAGACTGCTTCACCCATGCCGCCAATCAAACCCCAATGAGAAGTTCAGAAGTCTAATTCATCCAAACAGGCAATCGAACCCCAGAAAGAAGCTCAGAAGACTGATTCATCCAAACCGCCAGTGAGAAGCTGAGAAGCTTGATGCACCCTCATCTATCAAACCATAAAACCTCTAGGCTTTTTTTAGATGTTAAATGCTCATATATATTTAACAAAAAACTATACTCCGTAGTTATGATAGTTGAAATTAAAATCGTGAAGCCAATATCTCGAGGTAACAGGATACTTTCATGTTTAATAATAATAATAATAATAATAATAATAATTGTAATAGTAATTGTAATAGTAATAGTAATAGTAATAATAATAGTAATAATAATAGTAATAACAATAGTAATAAGAATAGTAATAAGAATAGTAATAATAATAGTAATAATAATAGTAATGATGATGATGATGATGATGATGATGATGATGAACCTTTATTAATCACAGCTCTATCCAATTGATCTTTTGCATAAGAACTAAAATACACTAGGTTATCCCATTCTGATATGCTACTATAATATTCCAAAATAACCACACATGTGTCTAAATTGGTATGGTATTAGATTTACCATAGTGCACCGTTAAAACTTTAAAGGAGGTTGGTTATGTGATAAGGTTGGGTCGATTGACATGATATATGTGTTATGCTAACTCATTCTTGTTGCGTGAGACTGAGACGAATCTGTATTCTAAAGGGAATTTGAACTTAGGACGCAATGTCTTAGTTATGGACTTATGGGATGGCATGTATTCATATTTTCCCCATTTGAGTTATACTACCTGTCTACCTCTGCTGATTCATGTCATCTCTGCTGACTCATGTCATCATAAGCAGTTTCAGAACTATATTAAGTGTGTCCTAACTTGCGGGATCATAAAGGTGTAAGATGATTGCTAAGCGATTGTTTTTTGTGATTTTCTACTCAAAAGGGCATTTGTAACAACACCCACTTAGCATTAAGGAGTTGACTATAAGGTGTGTTGAAAGGTCAAATTTCGAAGTAAACTTAGGGGTTCAAAGTTTGGTAAAAATAACCCACTCTGGTCTCTGGGTGCATATCTAACAAAATATAATATGGGCAAAATCGGATTATAAGGCAAACTACAGGATGCAAAGTCTATTAATTTGTGTAATCCAGTGCTGACTGTCTTCATTCAGCCCAATCGAGAGCCTAATAATATTTGGGGACATTACACCCCAAGATATTCTGAAACAAAACAAGGGAGGCCGCTTGTCTTGCGCATAAACTCAATGTTCATTTGAACCATTAAATGACTGGTATCACTGAGATAACATTGATTGTTAACATCTTCAAGCTGACCAGAGAGGCTAAGCAGTTATTTTTGAATGATGATACCCCATGGTCCAAAGTATTGTTACAATAGTGAGTTAGTGATTTTGCACCAGTTGTGCAATTGACCTGGTAAAGTTCTACAAACCCGCATGAGATTACGACATGTTTTGTTTCTGGGAGATTTGTTATTCACCGTTTGATCATTTTGTGGATTTTGTTATGATTGACCATTTGATTCTCGTGTTGAACAATTTCAAGTTTATTCTTCGTAAAACTCATATTGAGGGATGTCCTATCATACTAATTCGGTCTTTTTTTTACACCATCCTACTAATTCGGTTAGCCCTATTTTTTTTTTTTAATTTTTACATATGCAATTTTGGTATTATACGGTAGATCATAAAAATTTATAAAAGGTTTTTTACAAGAATATTACTAAAATAAAACTTATTTACATAAATATGACTATTCATTACTACAACGTAGTATTGTGGTAACTTAAGTTCAACACTTGAACATGAATTACTATGATTTCATTACTACTCTAGTAACTAGGCATATTTTTGTAAACCATCTTTATTTTGGTCGCATTTACATATTTAAATAAGTATAATATACATATTTAGAAAACTACATTAAAATCGAATTACAAACTCCAAATTAAAATATAATTAAGAATTAACATCCTATTAGTTGCTTAAAATGAAATTGTTTGACCAAAAAAATCAAATTTGCAAACCAAATCACAGAGGTAGTATATTTTATTAAAATTGACCCATAAATAATAAATTATAATACCTTTGTCCCATATTAGTTGTCATATTTTAATTTGACACGATTATTAATAAAGTGCTTGAAAAGTAAAAGTTCTGGTTGAAATTTGATCGAGTAGAATAAAGTGAAATGATAAGGACCGCATTTTTTATCAAAAAAGGAAACATGACATTGTTTTTGGGACAACCCAAAAAGTAAAGTAGAACAACTAAAATGAAACGTAGGGAGCAACAATTACTCCCTCCGTCCCGATTCGGTTTACGATACTTGACTGACGATAAAGTAACTTGATCTTTGTTCTGTTGTTCACACTCTAATTATTTTTAGCAAATAAAATTTATATATTCAGAAACTAAATTAAAAAATTTATAAAGCCTGATCAAGAAATTTTAAATTTGATATATAAAGCAAAACATTAAGAATGATTTAAGTTGACCATGTGAATACTGTTTTGGAACCTTTGAATATAATGGGACGGAAGTCATCATTTTCATTTACCCCAGTGTCGCAAAGGCTCCCACCTATGGTGGGGTAGGGGGGTCGGATGTACGCAGCCTTACCCCTGTACTAAAGCACAGAGAGACTAGGACTCGTGCCTCAATAAAAAATGGGACAGGGGTAGCACAAAAAAATGAATTGTCATGTCACATGGTTGACCCAAATTGGTGATTTAGTTAGGACGGGAGCTGGACCTATGTCTCAATAGTGAATGGTCAATTCTTATTGTACTAAACTTTTTACACAAGTTGTACGCAACCTATGTGCATGGGCAATTGACAGATAATTACCGGTTTTTAAAAGAAAAATTGACAAGAATAATTTCACATTTCACTAATCTTCTCATAATAATCTCACTTTTACATAATCCCAGAATAATCTCACATGTTGATGACCTATTATACCAGGCTTTTTACCCTTTTTTTGAAAACTTTTATATAAATAATCTTACCTTTCACAAATCTGCTCAAAACGGTCCCATGTTTCATTTTTTTTTTCTCCCTAAAATTTTTCTTTCTTTATTTTCATCCCTAGACAATTTTTTATTACTTTTTCTATCATTTTGTTATTATCTTTTTTCCGCTTTTATTATTCTATTTCTTAATCTATTGGGAGAGTTTTTTTTGTAAACATTCCCTTCAAAATAGTTCTTTTTTGTCGTTTTCTTTTTCTTCTTAATCATTCTCTTCTTATTAAATATTTCTTCGCACTCTACTTTTTTTTATATATTTTTTTTTTCACTTTTCTCCTTTTTTCTTCTTGTTACTTTATTTATGTTTTTTTCTTCTTTCTTCATTTCTTTTTTTCTTGTTATCTTAATTCCACCATTAATATGTTTTTCTCCTTTCTTCATTATCGTATTTTTCTACATAAATCTACTCATTAATTCCATGAATTGTGGGAAAAACTCTATGCGATATAAAGATTATGGAAAAATAAAACATTTGAGAAATGTAAATAAAGAAAAATAAAACATTCAGGAAAAGGTAATTTTTCTTTCTTTCGTTTTCTCGAATGTTTTATTTTTAATTTAATTTAATTTAATTTTTCCATGATCCTTTTCTCACATATAGTTTTTCACATGGTTGATGAAATTAATGGGTATACTTATTTACAGAAATCTGTACAATTTGTCTACTAATTTTTTGCACAATTGTAATTTTTCATACTTCATACTTTTGAAGTATATTTATTTCTTAAGACACGTTAAATAAGACCTCTAAAAAGAGAATATTGCATCAAATTCGGTCGGGCATATATTCTATACTCCAGTTCCATAGACGTAGACAGAATGGGTAGATGTTTGGGTAGCGGCTCTCTATAGTAGCAATTCAATGGTTATGGACAAATGGTACGGTGGATGCTATCATATTATTCATATACTTCCGACTCTTACCATTTTTTCAATTTTTCTTTTTGATTTGGGTGTCCAGAAAATTACGTGTCAACAAAAAGAAAGGTTGTTTGACCAGGCCATTTTTAGCGTTTAATAAATGAAAAAGATATTTGATACGGAGTAAATAATGTTTGGCCCTAGTGTTTTTGGATGACACCGCTAAAACGGAACCGATGCAAATAATAGAGTTTTGGATTAATGTTTTGAAATATAGCGTTTTCTATTAATTTTTATGATCATACTGCTAAATTACCAAACATCTTATGGCAATTCGCCAACTTAGACCGCTAGTGATTGAATCCGCTATTGACAACTCACTTACATAACCCGCTAATCGTTATCCATTAACCCAAATGCTTAATGCTAAACACGCTCATTATTTTAAAATTTTGTCATTAGTATGTTGCCTTGTTATTCCTATCTCCCTCCTTTTCCAAGTCTCAACCATTCAAATACTCCGTGTTACTTTGTTATTTTGGGTACGGATCAAACTTGATAAAATTTAAAAACAGGGAGAAAGTATGAATCAATATATGGGTAATTATGATGAGTGGAGTCCAGTCCAACATACACATTAACCTGAGTTCATTCGAGTCAAGAATTGAAACCTGTCCGCATAAGAATAGTGCGTACACTAGCTGTACTTACTGTTTCACCCGGCCTATAAATAGGACTGCCCTCCCAAACAATGCTTCATGCATCACCATATGTACCGTACGTTACTCCCTGCAGGCTTTCTTTTAATCGCATGTATGTATTTATATATAAATAAAATACTCCCTATTATATTCTATGTTCAAGCTATATGCGGTGTCAAAAAAAATGTTCAAGCTATATGTAGCACACACAATCACGCATGTAGTATTTATTTCCAGTTTCCATCGCTTCCATATTTTATTAAATATGTAATTATTTCTGTATAAAATTAGGTGTTTCTATAGGCTTTTCACGTAGTTTAAAATATTTCATAAGTTAATTTTACACTTTCTAATTAAAAAAGTTAGAGATTTTTTGGTATTGCATAGTACTGTTTACTTTATTAAAGTGTACTATAAATCTTTTGGAGTGGATTCTTTTTGAAATGAGAGTGACACACATATTTTGATACAACTCAAAAAAGAAAGTGAGACATTTATTTTTATACGAAGGGAGTAATCATGTACACCAGTAGTGAATAGTGATATACGGAGTAAGAAACTTCGAGTGATATATAAAAAAAGGGTATGACATAATAAATTTACCTAGCTATAATGATGACATTCATAATTTTCAATTTTCAATCAAAGCGCGAAGATGAGTGCTGGGAAAGAAATGAAGAGGATTGAGAAGGTGGAACAAGTAGGAGCTATGGTGGTGGTTGCGATATTCCTGGCGGGGAACATTGTGCTGGCTAAGGTGGCGGCGAACGACGGCATGCCGGTAACCATTATGGTGGCTTACCGCTGGATCTTTGCCACCGCTTTCCTTGCTCCTCTCGCCATTGTTGTCGAATGGTACGTACTATATGTACCGCGCATTGCATGCCCTTTATTATATTTGCAACCTTTCTTATTTAATTCACCATTGTAGGTATATTAATTAGCTATTCATGCATTATTAATAACTTATTAAGGGTACCTTACTACTTTTCATCATATATAATAATGTACTCCTCCGTATATCATTAATTGTATCATTATTTATTTATTTATTTATTTATTTATTTTGTCACACTTATTTATACGTAGTAGTCCATTGGCTTAATTATAATATTGTAATATATATGTGTGTACGTGTGTACGTGTGTGTGGATCAAGATCTACAATAGAATTCATTTCCTTTTTTATGGAGTATTAAATAACTTTACGCCGAAGCCCAAATATAAATGCACAATCTCTCCATTTCCTCTTATTTTATTTCTTTTTCCCTTCCGCATTCATATATATTTGATTATTTGAATATTTCATAAAATATCATTAAAATAATGTGATATTTTAAAATAGGATTCTTATATTATTCTTTAAATGTAAAAAAATTCTCAGACAATCCCCTCCTTGTTTATAAAGAAAACATGATGTGAGGAATAACACTTGAAAAGTACGGAGTGTAACTTATACTAACTATGCAAGACTATAATTTTCAACACAAAATGCATAACTTTTAAAATAGAAATGTTATTTGTAGTGGTAGTTTTTTCTAGAACAAAAGTGAAGAGAAAATTATACGTTTTGTGTTAAAAGGAGAGTATGTTGTTATTAATACCGAGTATAAGTTATACTCGGTATTACTTCAAAATGAATAGATTAGATCAGTGAAAGTACTCTTTCCATGAAAAGCAAGATGGATCAGAGCATTCATTACTTCAAAATGAATAGATTAGATCAGCTTCTCATTAAAAAATGGTTATAAGAACATCTACAATGGTTAGCTAAACATGTTGTAGTTTTGCTTGCCACGTCAGTTTTTTCTAGCTAATCCATGTGATAATCCGATGGTTAGCCACATTGTTTATTGCCTTTTGAATAGGCCCCACAATCAATCAATTTTGAAAATATACATTTTGAATTCATTAATATACTTTTTTTTTGAAATATTTTCAAATCGATCAAGTTGACAAGGAAACGTAACCAAACTCCTGACAGATCGATCAAGTTAGTCGCCAACTATGACTTTGACCAAACATAAATCCAATGCCCAACATTAAGCCGAACAGGGTGAAAATGCATATTTCTAAAATTAGTACAATAATATGTATTTTGTTAAATAAAAAATTAAGAAATGACAAATTTTAACAACACATACATACTGAAAAATATCAACTTTAGCTTAAATATTTCATGAGAAAATTAAACATTTCTTAAAATTAACAAAGAAAACACATTAAATAAAATAAATATACTAAATTTAAAATATCAATTCAAATTTTGCTCTCCAAAACGTTGCCAAATATGCTAGCTTAAAATTAACAAAGCAAACACATTAAATAAATTTTGCTAGCATCACCATCGCACTACCATTTTAATTCAAGTTTCTCTCCTTTCTAGCAATTAGCTTGTTTTGGCTAATTTGCTTTCCCAAGCTAAAAGGATAGATGCACTCCAATGGTAACCTAGTAGCTTCAAAATTGCAAGCAAGTCCCTAGAAGCAATCATTGGAGATGCTCTAAATTTTTTATTCTCATTAAAAATGGTTAAATTAACATATAATGCAAAAAATATATTTGTAGTGTATACAACATAAAAGTGCATTATCATCAATTCATCATATATTAGGAGCCATTATAATGGTTGTAATTCGATCATATATAACTTGTACTCCATCCCTTCGCATCATAAAATTCTTCTCTACTGGACATGTATCGTGTTTAAGAAAGTAGGAATAGAGTGAAAACGTATAATTGTGGTTGAATAAAAAAGGTAAATGAATGTTAGTCACGCAAAACTTTCCAAAAAAAGAAATGATAATTTCTTTTGGACATTCTAAAATGATAATTTTATAGGGCGAAAAAAGTACTACCTCTATGCCATTTTATGTGTCTCACTTTGACTTGGCACAATTATTAATGAAATGGTTGAAAAAATAAAAGTTGTGGTTTAGATTTGAGTATAATAAAGTGAAATGTTGTAGATCACATATTTTTTCAAAAGAGAAAATGTGACACTTATTTTGAGACAATCCAACAAAGAAAGTACGATAGATAAAATGAGACGGAGAGAGTAAGAGACTATACCGTAAGGTCAGGGCTGGCTTTTGGGGGAGTTAGCCTAGACAAATGTCTAGGGCCTCCAAATAATATGGGGCCTCCAATTTTTAAAAAATCAATAGTATATACATTTATTTAATTAGAATTAGAATTCTACAAATAGGATGGGTTGCACAGTACTACGAAAGACACGAGAGTGAGGAGCATGCATTTTTTATATGGAAGTATTTTACATTTTCTAAGCTAAGAAGTATTTTACGCATTAATTACATTATGTCTCACATTTGGAATGTTTCTTTACTTTTTTTAGATTTGTTTTCAGTATTTTGGTTTTTAAAGTTCATAGTATATTACAACTTATAAAATTGTTGATTTATTCATTTAAGTTTTAAGATATAAAAAATATTATTTTTATTCCTTTAAATGTTTGCTTGTTACGTTTCACAAATCACAATTGTTTTGTTTGTTCATTTTGAATTTGAGCCTTTTAATCTCAAAAGGTTTCATATTTTTTACTTAATTATGCTATAAAAAGTGTAAAACCGTATATTTGGGATTCATGATTGTTCGGTGATTTTGTATAGGAAGTTAAAACTAAGCTGGTTAGAAAATTACTTTGTAATATATTTGTTGATTTCTGATAAAGAAAAACATTAAAACTATGACTTTCTAAGATAGAAAAATAAGTTGATTTAAATAATTACATTTCTATATAATTATAGGTTTGAGCTTAGATTTTCTTTTTCTAACTATTTCTGGAAAAGAATTAGAAAATAAAGTTCGTCAGATTATATCTGATCAACCATGGCCAAAGATAGACTAGCTAACTGGGTTGACTATATTATTGATGAAGAAAAAATGTGTATTTTTGGTGCATTTTGGGCTAACTGGCTTCTATTTGTTTCATGTAATACTCTTTATATTATATTAAGGAAACAAGAAAAGGAAAATGCACGCTAATAAATTCTCAAAGTTAAATATTACTCGTATTTGATTGTACGTCTAGGGCCTCAAAGTTGTTCTAGACGGCCTGCGTAAGGTTAACCAAATGGCAATCCCAATATTTATTCGAGAACCTCTCTAGCTACACCAATCATTTAGTATCATGTCATCCATAGCTACACCAAGACATAAAGTACTACTACCTCCGTCTCATAGTGGTTGTCCAATTTCAATTTGGCACGATTATTAATAAAGTGGTTGAAAAGTAAAAGTTGTGGTTGAGATTTGAGTAGAATAAAGTGAAATGATAAAGACCACATATTTCTTGTCAAAAAGAGAAACAAGACATTCATTTTGGGACAACCCAAAAAGGAAAGTAGGACAACCAAAATGGGACGGAGGGAGTACTAGTCTACTACTCTGATCCATCCATACTACAGAGTACTAATTTTGCTTTGAACATACTGTCATATCAAGTGATACTATTCGTAAACTATGTTGAATACGGAGTATATTTGTTCGCAAACATCTGAATATTTTATGAAAAATGATTGGGTACACAAAATATGTACACAAAATATGTACACATGTCTGTCCTTCACAGAAATGTTGTTTGTGACAGACAAAATTTCTGTGAAGAACAAACATGTGTATACATTTTGGGTACACATTTTATTGCACAGTTAGTAATAAGAGATTTTACATAAATCACTAAAATAAAACTTAATTACGAAAATGTGAGTAATAGTTACTATACTATAATTTCATAGTCACTTGTGTGTAAAATTGAACGTAAGTTACCATAACTAAGTAACTATTTTAATCACTAATCATGTTTTTGTAAACTACACTTATTTTAGTCATACATTTGTAATGATGTCTAGTAATAATCTCATTTAATATCAATTTATCTATAAATAATACATTTCAAAGATATAAATATGGAAAGTTTTGTTATGTGTGATCTTTTAAACAAACTTTCATTATAATACTTTAGATTTTCTTTCCAATTTAGTAGATTAATTACACTTTCGTTACATCAGTAGAGAGAATTCCCTAAATGGAAGTAAAAACATTATGAAATTCCAAAGTAGGACTATCAAGTTTTTTATTCCCTGAATAGGAGTAAATTTCTGCCAAGTTTGGCATTACTAGGCTTTAAACATGACATTTTTTTTCAAACTTGGCAGATTATTCCTATTCAGGGAATTAAAAACATGATAGTCCTATTTTGGAATTTCAAAACATTTTTACTCTTATTTAGGGCAATTTCTGTTTAGTATAAAAGGTGAATTAGAAGTCCTATTACGTTAATTTAAAAAGCTCCCTAAAACTACGTAATTCAAAAAATAAAATCCCATATTTTTTTAAAGTACTATAACTTTTTTATTTGTGTTTTGATGGTTACAAAAAATATACCATAATTTATAACTTTTTATTATCTTTCATATGAGACCAATATTGAATATATAAAAACAAAAAACTAATTTAACACTTTTTATTTATCTATTTTGAAAAATAATTTAACACTTTAAAAAAATATTTTTTAAAAATAAAAAAGAATTCAACACTTTAAAAATTATGTTATATTTTTATATATTCAATATTGGTGTCATATGAAAGATGATAAAAAAATTATGAAGGTGATCTACTTTTTGTAACAAAAAGCTATTATACAGCGTGATATATTAGGAGTAATTAACTTTAGGTACATGTATTCCAAATGTAAAACATGTGTAACACATTTATTTGAACTCTTATTTTAAATACTTTTTCCAATGATTTTAAAAATACAATTAAGAATTGTGAAAATTTTGTCGTGTTCGATTAGAATTCAACAAAGTACTATACATTATGTATGTAAAATTTTGAAATGTTGCATTTGAACTATAAGTTGGATTAGATAGATTTGTTTGACAATAAGAGTAAAAAAAAGATGCTTGGGTGATATGACCTGACTAGATTGGATCATACAGATCAGAACAAATCCGATCAGAATAGACAAACAAGACAAAAAATGAATAATGTTTAGATAATTAGTTTAAATACAAGGCATACTCAATAAATTAGAATATGCATTTTAAACCAATGTTATAATATATCAACTGAATAAGTGATTTTTTTAGTAAAACTAAACAGTAAAAGAGGAAGCGGTCCAACTCAGCTGGTCGCCAACTCACTCTCCCTTACGGGAGGTCTCGGGTTCGAAACTCAATGGAGTGAGTTTCAGCCTAGATAACTCCAGGCTCCCCCAGCCCCTACCCCAGACGCCCCCTGGAGTAAACAAAAAAAAGAAATTAAACTGTAAAAACATTTTATCCCATGCATAGCACGGGTAAGGATACTAGTATATACGGAGTAGTAATCTAAACTATTAATTATTCTAGAATAATTCTTGCCGGTTGCAGGAATAAAAGGGCAAAGTTGATGCATGCAGTCTCATAAATTGATTTCTTACCTGCCTGGTGCAGGAATAAAAGACCAAAGTTGACGAAGATTGTGGTACTTCAATCATTTATGTCTGCACTATTAGGGTGAGTAGCTTTGAGAAGTTTATGTGTATTGAAAGATGTATGAAACATGTCAACATGTTCCTTATGGAGGGTAAGGTGCGTGTTGATGATGTGGATATATGCATCATATATTCATTCATATGTTATTAATAAAGTTCAATATCATGACATGAGTGCATTTGGCGCATCCATATCATCAACATGCTCTTACGGGCATGTTAACATGTCCGCAGAATTACTCTATGTTTGGAGCTTTATTGACACCATGCCCTGCAAATGAACTTAGGATCATACTTATAGTGCATGTAGTACTACATTTGCTCATTAAATCTCTAGTTTGACTTCACGAAATTGAATGTAAAATAATTTTTTAATTAATTGATTTTTCAAGTTTTTCATTCCTAAAATTCTAAAAAGTATGATAGAATAATATAATTATTAATTAATAATGTACGAAGTACTTTACTAGGATAAATAGTGTTTTACCACCTAAATATCATTAAAAGAGTTGAATCATACCAAAAAACAAAGGGAGAACTTAAATGTCATATGTAGAGTGCATATAGTAGATTCGTGACATTATTTTATCAATTATGTATGCTATAATTAGAGGCATAATCAGAATAATGGAAATTCGGCGAGGCTAGTTCTTTACAAAATTTACTATTTGGGAGATTTACCAAAATAAGAGTAAATGGAGTTTGAAATTCTAAAATAAGACTACTATGATTTTATTCCTGAAATAGAACTAACATAGAAGTATTAACTGTCATCATGTAAGCATGATTGTCAAATAGTTGCAGTATAGTGCATTGTATATGACATTATTTATTATAATTAATAATTGTATTTTTCAATCATGACAGTATTTTTCATACATGACAATAACAATTCCTTTTTCGAGAGGAAAACCATAGTAGTTTTATTTTGAAATTTCAACCCTCATTTACTCCTATTTAGGGTCATTTTCCCTTACTATTTTTACTCTGCCAAATTAATACGGAATATACTCCCTCCGTCCCTGAATGTTCTTCCGATTGCGGATTACGAAGGTTGACCGACGATAAAGTTAAATGATCCCTGTGAAAACTCGGATTATTTTTAGTAAATAAAATTTACATATTCAGAAACTACATTAAACCCGCTACAAAGCCTGCACAAAAAATATCAATTTTCATAAAGTTTTGATACAAAAAGTAAGAGTTTAAGAGTGATTTAAGTTGACTCTCGAAAAGCGAAATGGAAGTAAATTTAGGGACAGAGGGAGTAATTCTTTTAGTAATATTTATCATGTTGACATGGGGATATATAGGCGGACTTAGGCATATATATTTACCCGTCATGCCAGGGCTGACCTGACCCGCAATAGCATATGAGCAGGGTTGGGTTAGGGTCTAGGCCCATTCAGGCCGATAAGCCCAACTCACTACATTTGATATATATAGTAATTTATTTATTTACTTGTAAATGTGTATATTTATATTTATTAATTTATATTTATATATATTTATAGTTTATTATGTTTAAATTTAGGTTTTTAGTTCTTGACAACTAGCTCAATCAATGTGATCCCTTAAAATTTTGTCAAATTTGACTGTCACAAGAAAATAAAGTACAAATTGCATAGATGAAATTAATGGAGAGAAGGGAAACATAATATGAACAACAAATTAAATATCCCCTTTCCATTCCGGTGTATGAAAAATGAGACACATTCTTGCTGGACTCGAATCAATTTTTACCAGCCAACACGTCATCTATCCCCTAGTTTATACGGCCTAGGGGCAAGAGTAATCTTATACTACCTCTATCTCATTTTACTTAGCCACATTTGACTTTTCCAATAAAAATGACGAACTTTCATCGATTATTTTAATTAAGGCTAAAGAATCAAATAGACCTTCGAACTAACTTAAAAGTGTAAATCACTCCTTATATAGGAGGTTATGTCCAGCTATCGCTATTTGGGGCAGTTCCCGGTGTAATTTTTTGATGAAATTTTTTAAGCATCTTCTTTATTAAGTCTAGATTACCGATACCACATTTCAGATAAAAATTCAACCGGGAAAATCGTCAAATGATTTTCTAAAATGTATTGCGCTGTTTAACTGCGCGGTTATCTTCAAAAATTCATTTGACTGCCTTCTCGATTGAATTTTTAGCTGCAATTTGGTATGAGTAAACTAGACTTAATGGATAAGATGCTCAAAAAATTTCATCAAAAAATTCCACCGAGAACCGCCCCAAATGACGGCGGCCGGACAGAGCCTCTTATATAAGGGGTGATTTGCACTTTTTAAGTTAGTTCGAGGACCTATTTGACCCTTTAGCCTTTTAATTAATATATTTTTTCAAAATTTAATAATTTTATACTTTTATGATAGTATTTTTAACAAAGAACATTTTCATATCATTTTCATATTATCAATATTTACTTTATATAAATATATGATCAATCTAAGTTAGACACCATTGATTAGAAAATTCAACTTTGGCTAAATAAAAATGGTCGAAGGGAGTAATATTTATCTCTTTCCCATTGGACTTTGTAAATTTTTATTTTTTGTTTGTACAAAAAACTTTTTCATTGTCCATTTAAAATAGTAATATATGGTTATGTTTATTTCTGCATGTCTTCTCTACATAATTATCAATCACACATTTTTTAATTTTTTTATTTCACGCCTAACACACAAACATGACAATGTCCTAATAATTAATTGGACGGAAGTAATGTTCTAGTGGGAAAATAATTCAAATATCCAAAACATTGAATGAGTGTAAGGTTAACACTCCCAACTTGCAAGTGTATTTTAAATACCCCAAAATTTATACAAAAAGTTTTTTAGCACGATGGACATATGTTGTTTTTTTCAAAAGTGTAAATTTATGGTATTAATTGCATAATTTAAAATATTTTTATTTCAATTACTAAGTGTTGCAATTATATAGACTGAGGGTAGGTATATTATTTATTCGCAATGGAAGATTAGAATGTTATGTGTGGGGAGTAGTCGTGGCCTTCTGTAACTCTTCTTTGATTACTTTCACGTCTATTCACAAAATAAGCATTTACGCGGTAAAAGGAAACCTAAACCAAAGCGGTGATGGGCAAATATTTGGCACTTTTCATCACACCATTGAAAACCTCGGCCATATTAGAAGTTATGGTACCGTATCTGTAACCCCCATCACGGTGTAATGACCACATTTCCAAGGGAATGTTCCCCAGAAATTGTTGTGCCTCCACCCGCAGTTCCCCTATCTTGTTGAACCCACAATCAAACTTTTTTTTGATGTTGTCGTGCAGTCCAAACAAACAGATTTTTCAGGTGAATGTCTTTTAAATGAGTGTGCACATTCGATGCAAGATGACGCATTCATAGCCTATGGTGCGCAAACGGCTCCTCCCAACTACTGCCCACCTCATTCATTGCCTTTATAATACCTGCATGTCGATCAGAAATGACACACAACTCCCTTTTACTTACAAACTCCCTAATGCCTGCCATAAACCATGGTCAACTGTCCTCATTCTCAGATTCACATACTGCAAAGGCCACAGGAAATAGTTGGTTGTTTGCATCACTACCCATAGCCACGAGTAATGTACCATTGTACTTCCCATACAAGTGTGTGCCATCAATAGTCAGTACGGGTCTACAATGCTTAAAACCATCTATAGAAGGCTTGAATGTCCAGAAGACTCTCTCAATAATCAATGGGACCTGTAAGGGGTGGGTACCCGTGAACAATTGTCCCCATAGTGGAATGTTGGAGCGTACGTTGTCATGAAATGGGGCAATTCAGAATATGATTTCTCCCAACTGCCAAAAATTTCAGCAATGGCCTTTTGCTTGCCCAACCATGTTCTTCTGTAGGATACCGTATAATCATACTTTTCCTTCAGCATCTCAATAATAGTATGCACTTTAAGGGAAAGATCAGTGCGAAGAATGTCAATTGCATCTCTGGCAATATAATCTGAAGTAATCGCCGCGTGATTAGTATCGTCGCTGTTGCCAACACAAGTAGCAGAATGAGGCCCATGGTAACGCACAACTGTGAACATGTCGAGGGTTGCATGTTTCTTTGTGGCCCGTATTCTCCAGGTGCAATCACGTTCCTTCTTCCTCTTGCAGTCTGCAACCCATTTGTGTTTATCGGACTCCAGCACCTGATAAAACTGGTTCCATTTGATAGAATACAAGCTCACCATATTGATGAGTTGTTCTTTGTTGTCAAACTGTTGACCAACCTCAAACTCACCAGCAGATGTAAACCTTTTCACATATGTTCCACTTTTCCACGCATCATCAAAGCCGGATAGGAGATCATATAATCTGGTAAAGTGGCTAGACGGGGCAGTAGCGCTCACAATATCACCATCGTCTTCATTTGATTCTGTCATAGCATCATCATTGATGTGTTCATCAGCATCATCATCAGTTTCATGGCCATCCAAAAAGGATGCACCATTGTGCAAATACCGTCTACCCTCCTTTAGAACCATGTCCAAAACAGCATCATTTGAGGAGGCTGTTGCATTAACACCATGCCCAAATACAATAGCATTTGATGTTGACGGAGTTATAGAAGCGTCACCTATGGAATCTGTAATGTATATCTCCATTGTGGACATATTCATCATCAGAAACTATCGTCCACAATGTCGTGACAGCTTCATCAAAAAGTGACATTAGCATGTATGATCCCCCGTGAAGGGGATATTTCACCTACAATTGCAAAGAATGGATCGGAGGAATCTGTGTAGCTATAATTTTAGAAGCATCTCACGCATACAAGCGCCACGAGAAACGACAAACATCCGTCTCATACCACCTTCATAGTGTATATCCCCTGCTTCCTTGAATATTTTACCTCCCCAATAACAAATTATTGGGGAGTTGAAGAAATCCATATTCTAATAACAATACCTGACGATAATTGATAAGTAAACATTATTATACAAACTTTATACACCCAAATTCAACATTTCATAGACATAACAACGTATTAAAAAACTCTCATATTTCAGAAAATCCTACGGAGTATTAGATATACCACACTTAACAAATTCAATATATTACATTTTTCAAAAAAATCAAAATATTACATTCAAATTGACATTACACAAGAAATCGACACCAACATCAAAATATTACATTCAAATTGACATTACACAAGAAATCGACACCAATATCAAAATATTACACTGAATTCAACATTAAAATTCAACATTTCATACATATTCACATTTCACAACAAATCAATTCACAAACCAATTCCTAATCACAAAATTCGAAATTTATACATTCTAAACCCTAACTTGAAATATGAGATGAAATGGAGTTTGATTTACCTAGAAAAAGAGTGTTGGAGAAGATGAAGGTGAAGGGGAGGAGCTCGAAGATAGAGACCGCCGGTCTCGCCTTGCCTGCAATCGCCGGAGATGGGAGCTCAAACCAGTTGATGCGGAGGTTTTTTTGGGATGGGACGGCCTGCGTTCTGTCTGCGTTTTGCCCAACCCGTCTATCTGTTTAAAGGAAAGTCGCCAAACGGTTTGGCGACTTATAAGTCGCTGAACCGGATAGCGACTTATAAGTCGCCAATCCGTTTGGCGACTTTCCTAACCATGGTTAATCCAGCAGTACATCGGTAAAATACTTTTAACCCAGCATTAATTATTTCGGTAATTATTTATTTAATCTGCATTAATTCGGAAAAAACTCTCATATTTTAAAATATTTGATTTTACCGTTTAGGTCTTTCTCAATGAATATTACTAAATTAAATTCAAAAGTAAAAAATATGACTTATTTTAAAGTTTTCCGAAAGAGTGACATATTCAATGACTAGTTCATAGTGACTCATCATCTATCAGTGACTTGTCACTCTGAAATACACTATGATGACTTTTGTCCAATTACTCGTACACAGTGACTAATCATATTTTTGTCTAAAAACATTAGTCATATTTTTTTCCTGTGAAACTCTATTAGTAATATTCATATCATTTTTTCTGCACTTTACACCCATTATGAAGAATCGTACATTTGGTAAGTAGCGGTTAGCTGTTGGCGGTTTTGATCAACAATTTATATTAGCTACTTTGTATTAGCCGTTCAAGAGCATTTATTTGGTGAAATTAGCTGTTGGGAAAAATCTATTAAGAAATTAAGTAAAAATAATATATTAATGATAAGGATTAAAATCGTATCAGTACAGGCATGTATAATATATTTGTTTTAGTTCCATAAAATTAAAATTACAATCGTGTTTTATTTGCATGCCATTTCATTTAATTCCCATGTTCGTAAAAACCCTAAATAAAAATAAATATTATATAACTTGGATGTTGAGGAAAACTAAAAATTAATTCGATTTTTTTTACCCCGGAAGGGGCCTAAAAATTAATTCGATAACATCATAAAAAGTAATATTAAATAAAATAACGATAACACCATCACTAATTACAACAATAAGAATTATATATTGAAAACGACAAAAGTAAAACAATAACTCATCTTTTTAGAAATAAAAATATATTGAAAATAACAAAAGTAAAATAGTAATAATAATAACAATAATACATTGAAAATAACAAAAGTAAACAAAATACTAGCAGCGTGTGAGTTTTTGGCTTTTTGGTTGAAGCAGCTACGAGGTTTTAAATTGCGGTTGCGGTTGCGGTTGAGGTTGCGATCGCTGCAGTTGCGTCTAATGTAGCTGCTGCGATGCGTATTGCGGCCACTGCGGCGTGAATTATTTTCAAATTCGTACCAGAAAGAAAGATTGACAGGCGGATGCGTTGCGGTCTGTTGTGGCACGTCACGGTCGATTGCAGGATGCTGCGGCGCCGTCGCGGTTACGTTGCGGTTTCATTGCGGTTGCGTTGTGGTTTTGGGCGTGCGCGGGCGACCTACGGACACGAATGTCGTCCAAAAATCCATCTCTCAAGAGATACGGGTTATTTTTGTTTTCTTCCCGAAACGTATATTCTGATGGTCGCGGATCAGAAACCCTCACAGGGGTCTTCTGATTGGCCTCCGATCAGAATCCCTCCTCCAGGGGAGTTCTGTTGGGAGGTCTTCTGATTCGCTGGAACTCTTGTTTGTGTGCTCAAACATTAGTTCGTAGTCATCGTATCCTGGGAAACGATTGTTGCAACGCTCCTAGCACCGTGGGAGGCAACAAATACGTTTTAAGGAAATCGTGCGTAGCACGAGCTTTGACTAATTCTGCTTCATCTCTTTTCTTGTTTTTCTCTTGTCATTTTATTTAATTAATTTATTTTAATTAATTTTCTTTATTTTCCGAAACACACCCAACAGGTGTTGCGGACTGATGCGGTTGCGGTGCCCTCGGCAACAGCAACATTGCGGCCGCAAGCTAGTTGGAGCAATCGTTTTGCCAAACAATTACTTTAGCTGGTCAATTAGTCAAATCATCTAAAATTAGTCCAGCAAGCTAAAAACATAGTTGATCAGTCATTCTCCAAACAAGACCATAATGGGGTGTTTGTTTTCCTGCGGGTTGGAGACAAAAACACTATAAATAGCGGCATTTCCTGTTGAAAAAGAATAGCATTTAAGTCAAACAGATGTTTTACAATTTTCATCACATGTAAACATTAAAATAGCACAACCGTAGGGTGTAATAAATTAAAAAACAAATTAAAGCATGCTCTGTATGATATAATGTTACTTTGATATAAAGTGAAGTTTTTAATTAATCGGCCATCCTAGAAAATTAAAAACTACCTCATTTTCGATCATGATTTCGTGTTTGTTACACAGGGGGGCTCTTTTTTCAAATATGTTCTTCAAAGGTGTGGCCTTAACATCTGCAACGTTTGCCACAGCAATTTACAATATTATCCCCTCATTGACCTTCGTTGTTGCAATCCTTCTAAGGTAACATCCATTGCTTCGCTAGTTTTTTTGGATAAACTTGTCACACTGTGTATCGATGACGGCCGGCTTCTAGTTACCCGGAGTTATTGAACCTTAAATAAACTTTTATTAATAACGTTAGTAACTTTTAGGATATGTTTGACACAATTAACTGAAAAGATATTTTTGTGTGTTTTTTAATAATTGTTAACTTTTAGTTAGTGACTAAAAAAGATTCTAAAAAGAAAAGATGGTAGTTATTTGGTAAAAAGGTGAGTATTTAATTTAGTTTTGTTCGGTATACAAGCTATTTGGACTCATCTATGCTAAACGTCACGTATTTTTCTCAAATGCTACTTCGTGTAGCATCTCAAAAAAAACTTTTATTGATTGAAATGTTCTTAAAAATTGTCATGTCAAACATAAACTGTTTTTAGAAACCTTTACGGAGTACAAAAGGTGAAAGGCATAGCCTTAATCACGAGTTGTATTCACAAGGAGCATAATTAGGATTTCAGTTTGTGCAACAACGCAAGCGAAAGACAATAACTTAAAAAAGTGGGAGCATATAATAGGCACTATTGCTAAAAGAGAATATCAATGATTCTTAACACGGATAGTATGTGGCTCGTAGGGCCTTCTAATACTTCCTTCTATTCATAAAATAGTTCCCGCGAGGATTTGGATCGGAGTTCAAGAAAGTAGAAATAAAGTTGAAATGTATGATTCTATTTGAGTAAGAAAAAGGTAAATGAATGGTAGTCACACAAAATTTTCCAAAAACGAAAAATTAAAACTATTTTTTGGGACGGCCCAAAAAGGAACTTGAAACTATTTTTGAGATGTCCGGGCTTCATATTGTAAGTAAAACATACGGAGCACTACGTACTTTATTTATATTTGGCAACAAAATTTATACTTTCTTTATTCTTTTTTAGTTGCAAACGCTTCTTTTGTTATGTTTGCAAACGCACAACTTTGAGTATTAATATACTTCGTATTTAATTTTTTAATTTTAGGAACTTCAAAAAATCTCATTTTGAAGATTTAAAGTGAGAAGATTTTAATTATATTTTTTAAATGAACTTTAAAAAAGATTACGTGAATAATATAAAATTTATAATATTACAACTATTTAAGAACGGATGTAGTATTTGGATATACGCTTTTTTATTATAGTTAGGAAAATGGACTATATATTTTATATTATAATCCGCCCATAAATATCCCATATTAAATGGAAAAGTTTTTCCTAAACATGAGAGAATCTGTCTTTCTTCCGGGGAAGTTGTGGAGGGGTACATCCGTACATGCCACTATGCCATGAGTTTGAATTTTAAAATGAATTGGAGTTGGAACCTTTACACTATTAATTAATTAATACTGATTTAAACAATGATAGAATGGAGAAAATGAAGTTCGATCAAGGCAGCGGCAAGGCAAAAGCGATAGGGACGCTGATATGTTTAAGTGGGGCGATGCTCCTAACGTTGTACCGAGGGCCAGAGTTTCATATATGGAGGTCCAACGTTGACTTATTTCACCTCTCTCACCCACATGGTAACACTGTGACGTCGTCAAAGGGCAATTCTGGTAGTTTCACTTTGGGTGCAGCCATTACACTCATGTCATGCTTTTGTTATGCACTGTGGATAGTGCTCTTGGTAAGTAACCTTATTAAAAATTACTCCACCATGTTATTATGAATTTATGATGTATTAAGAGGTTTCAAATTTGGAGTGAAATTTTCTGGTATGTGATCTGGTTTGTTTAAATCTAATTTTGTCTAATCATATCTGAATTGCTTGTATTTCTTTAGTGAAGAATAAAAATTAACATAAGAATTAACGGTCTTGCAAAAAAACAGTCTTTAAGTGGTATAGTTTCACATAAGAACATTGTAAGAATAATGCGGGCCTGATTTAATTTTCAGTTTCCGTTTGTTTACAAATTAAGGGGTGTTGTGTCCTGCTTTTTAAAACTGATTCTGCTCCTTGAGGGGGCAGAATCAAATATTGGAGTGTTTGGGGTGAAAGTGAAAAATACTTAATTCTTAAGGCCCCTAGAATACTCTTAGAAGCAGGTTTTAAAAAGTTGTGGGAGACTTTTTTGGGAAGGGGGAGACTATTTTTTTAAAATGAGATTTTGATTCTACTTCTGCTTTTAAAAAAAGAAACAAAAGCAAAATCAATTTCAACCCCCTGAATTGCAAAACCGAGCTTCCGGAGTCACCGAGCTTCCGGAGTCAGGGCCAGTCGGGCTCGAGCAGTGACCCGCCCCTAGCTATTGTGGCTGGTGAACTATGTAATTCAAAAATGATTCCATGCATTTAGGATGTTTTCTTTTGTACTGTTTTCAGTCCCAGACCAGATCAGATCAGACCAGACCAGACTTCCGTAGTTATAAAAGACACAGAGACCAGACGTTTACCAGACCAGACCAAACCAGATCAAACCAGACCAGATCAGACCAGACCAGACCAGCAAATTTCAGTCCAAAAGAAAACATCCTTATATCTTTGTTATGCTTTAATGTTTAAATAAATAAATGGTGGGTTTAATTTGTTTGAAAGGCAAAGATAAGCAAGAATTATCCATGCCATTACTCGAGTAGCGCATTGATGAGTTTCATGGGGACGATTCAGACTTCTGTGTTCGCATTATGCATTTCGAGAGAAGAGGCGGGCTGGAAGCTTGGTTGGAATATCAGATTATTCGTCGTTCTTTTCATGGTATGAATAAGGATGTTTTTACTTGGACTGTAATTTGCTGGTCTGGTCTGGTCTGATCTGGTCTGGTCTGGTCTGGTCTGGTAAGGTCTGGTTTCTTTGTATTTTTATAACTATCCAAGTCTGGTCTGGTCTGGTCTGGTCTGGACTGGTCTGGTCTGGGACAAATTACAGTCCAAGTAAAAACATCCTAACTAACTACCACCCTATTTATATTTCATATTACGATTTGTCAGTAATTATTTGAGTTTTTTCCCGGAATAATGTTAATTAAATAAATAATTTCCAAAATACTGCCGGGTTAAGAATAATTCCCGAAATACTGTTGGGGTTAATTAACCACGGTTAAGGAAAGCCGTCACTCCAAGTGGCGGCTCTTGTACAGCTTCACAAAAGCCGCCACTTGGAGTGGCGGCTCATATACTGCTGTATGAAAGCCGCCACTCCAAGTGGCGGCTCTTGTGTTAAGGAAGCTGTTGCACCATTATTTACACAACTAAATCTGTAGTTACCAGAAAATCTGCTCATCACAGACTCACAGTCCATTCTACTCAAAAAAACAACCAAACATATGATTTACTAAGACAAAATACACCCGAAACACAAAACGAATCAATGAAACTACATGACAACATACATCCAAAACACAAAACGAATCAATGAAACTTCATATTATGAAACTTTCACAAAACGAATCAATGCACCACAAAACTTGAAATAAACCATAAAAGTTATAATAAATCGGGTGTTTCACAAAATGATTCGATCTGTCAGTGCATGCTACAAGCCTACAACTTTCACTCAATAATTTAAATACAAAGATCATAAGTCAACGTGATCATCATCATCATCATGAAGTTCATGTGGTTGTGCTCGGGGACACCTGCGCTGGTTACGAGGCTGAAGAACAACTCTATCACGTCGGACTGCCTGAGAAGACCCTGCTGCGGATGCAGATGCGGTGGAATGCTGAGAGGTGGCCATATATCCATAATCCACTCGGCCCAATACATCAGTGCACAGTGAAACAATGCCTGAACAAGCGTCATGGTATCCTTGTACATCTACCGCCTCATCAAGTACAGCAGTCGCTCTGTCATTGATGCTACGCAAAGCCCGTGTCTGTAATGCAAACATGGTTATTAGTGAAAAACACATGAATAAATAAATAAAAATAAATAAATAAAGATATTATATTAACTATATTGTTTACTGTCATATGAAGAGCGACTGAGCTAGGCTGGTAATGATCAGTGGGTAAACGAAAACTGGGAGAGATAAACACACGTGTGATGGTGTGATACCATCTCATGTAGTCTACAGAAGCTGTGAGGACTAATGATGGGATCCCGTCCACTATATACGCCGCTCTCTCATCCCACATAGTGATATACTGAATATGGCGCATCCCCCAATCTTCAGTGTGCTTCCCCCGTCTATCAATCTTGTGCAAATCCACAGATGTATCACAAGGTCCGGGAGTAACCTGCTGCAACCTGAACTAACGTAGTACGTTATCAGGAAAGTGATGCTCCACTACATCAAAACATATCAAGGGCACACGTGCTCGCCATATCTCAGTGTGCTCTCGGGTAACAGGAGGCAACAGGAGGCAACAGTACTAGAATCTCATCAATGTACGACATCCACGTCATCTATAATATAAAATTATGTTAGACCATGGTTTATAAAAACATAAAACAAAGTACTTACATTTAATGATATAAATGATATACCTGATCATCACACAAGCGAAGCATCTCGGTAGTATCCTAATCCAGCAGCGGATGACGTGCGCGTGACATGAGCAAATAGCCATCTGACACACAGTAATGTATAACAATATAAAAGGGATTCACGTGCGTCATACAAAAAAAATCATAAACTGGGAAAAATTGGTTCCTCTTTACAGAGTACGCTCTAACCATGTTGATCAGTTGTTTCTTATCATCAAACTCTTGCCCAACCTCGAATTCACCATCTGCAGAGAAGCGACTAGAAGTTGTACAACCCTTCCATGATTCATCAAATCCCGCAGGGAGCTCATAAACTTTAGTGTAGTGGTTGGATGGTGCATTGCCACTTACGAGATCACCACCATCTTCATCTGAATCTGTTAGTGTGTCATGGTTCATATTTTCATCTGCATCGTCATCATTGCACTGTGAATGCAGAAATGTTGCATCACTATTCACGTATCTTCCATTCTCCTCTGTAACCATATTCATCACAACTGGAACACTTGTGGATGGGCAAGACAATGGCGGGTGGCCAGGTTGTATGGGCAACACCGCCACTTCTTCAACATATATCTCCATGGTATGCATATCAAGATTCTCGATTACAGTCCACATTCCTGTAACGGCTTCGTCGTCAGCAAGAGGAATCAACATGTATGATCCACCATGCATGGGATATTTAACCTTCAAATCCAACTTGTTCATACGATTGATGGATGTGGCGGCATAAATTTTATTCATTATTTCAGCAAGATCCACCCCACGGGAAACAACAATTATCTTCCGAATCCCTCCTTTAGAATGAATTCTGTTTGACTCCTCGATAATATTTCCTCCCCATTGACAAACAATGGAGAAGTTTCTAGACATATTCTACAAAAAAAAATAATTCCAAAAAAAGTATGACGTATGCCGCTATTTGAAAATTCAACTACAATTACTATAATTCAAACGAAAAGTATTAGATCGTAGATACATACTACGATTTCATACCATTAAATTAGGACTCATAATAATTAACCAGTGGCAAAAAAATAGAGTAATGAAAAAGCAACAAATTAACACATGATTAATTAACACTAGTTAATTAGTAAAAGAAAAGCAAAATCCGTTAATAAACAGGTAAACAATAATAACTTCGAGCAAATCAACAGCAATTTTGAACAAAACAATAACAATTTCAAGCAATTTCGAGCAATAACTAAAAAAACCTAGCTTTACAAAAATGGTGAAAGTTGGTATAATTCTAATTTTACAAATTATATAAATTCAATCATAATAACAAGATTAATAATAATGTTTGTACTCCTATGTTTTTATTCAAATATTTCAGCTAAACAACAACAATTTCGAGCAAAATTAAGAAAAAACCTAGGTTTAGCAAAGAAGATGAAATACCTCGATTCAAACGGTTATTGACGGTTGAAGGGAGCTCAAACGATCCCGGTACACCGCGCCTCTTTTCCCTTGGATTCGAGCAGCGTTTGGACGAGTTCCGACCGGATTGGGAACCTTTGTTGCACAGCTCCTTTGTCGTTTGGTTGTTACAGAGAAGAGGTGGGTTGCTGCAGAGAGTAATCGTTCGTCAAGGGGGAGTGTTTTAACTTCTGAATTAATGAGCCGCCACTCCAAGTGGCGGCTCTTGTGTAGCAGTACAAGAGCCGCCACTAGGAGTAGCAGTTTTTGTGAAGCTGTACAAGAGCCACCACTTGGAGTGGCGGCTTTCCTTAACCGTGGTTAACCCAGCAGTATTTTGGGAATTATTCTTAACCCAGTAGTATTCTGGGAATTATTTATTTAATTAGCATTATTCCGGGAAAAAACTCTAATTATTTACCGATGAACACGTATTAATTACGTTTTGGTAAATATATTAATGCATGGTTATTTTTTAATTAGTTGGTTATTATGCATACGCACAGGGAGTTATAGGATCGGGAGTCGTATTAATTCTGATGACGTGGTGCGCGAATAAAAGCGGGCCCTTGTTTGTGTCCATCTTCAATCCTTTAATATTGGTGTTCGTGGCTTTGACATGCTCATTGTTGCTCAATGAAACGTTACATCTTGGAAGGTAATTAATTACAAATAAGAAATAAGTATGTTCGTAATTTAATGGGTTTTTTTCAAAAGTATTATCAAAATCAAACAGTTAAACCTTATTTACAAAAAAATATGACTAATAGTTACTACAAGTGTACAATGTAGTCTCATGGGATATGCTAACTTAAGCTTACAAAATGAACATAAGTGACTATGATTACATCATTACATCACTACTTTGATCACTGGTCACATTTTTTTAAATAATATTTATTTTAGTCATAAACATGTAATTACATCTGCAGAAATTCATAGCTTTCCTTTACCATGCATCGTTTTTTTTTGTTAATCTATAACCGCTTTCTCTAATTAATCTGAATGTGATGTAAATTGAAAATGTAATGCATTATGCAGCATTTTGGGTGGATTTGTGATTGTATTCGGATTATACGTGGTGTTATGGGGAAAAGCAAGAGACATGAAAGAAGCAAGCAGCTCTGATTCTCAGCAAGTCATTCCTAAAACCAACTCAGAAACTGTGCAATGATTAATTAATTAATTTGCTCCGATCTCTTGCAAGCAAGCAAGCATAAACTCAGAATGTTTCGGTTAGAGGGTGTGCTAAAATGCAAAGTAATTACCTCTCATATGAAATGTTGAATGTAATGAAAGAGTTAGTTTATGTCATCTAATTTAAATACTCCCTCCGTCCCGAAAACAACTTCCCGATTGGACTTTCACACACTTTTAGGAAATAAATTTGACTTCACTGTAGAATGCACTGTTTTGCACTGTTTAAACACTGTTTGGCACTGTTTAAACACTGTTTGGCACTGTTTAAACACTGTTTGGCACTGTTTATCACTTTTTTGATGTAGATAATTTGCCAAATAAGGAAAGTATTGAAGTGTGAAGTTAATTTTGGGACATCCATTTAAGGAAAGTGGGAAGTTGTTTTCGGGACGGAGGGAGTATTTGATTATTTGTCTACAAAAATACCTACTCCGTAGAATATCAGTCTATCAGACCCGCCTTATGAGGAGACGAAACTTCAAACTTAGAAGCTGTTCTCTTCACCTGATCTGAATGTTTCTGATCTGAATTTTTTAAGTTCTGATCTGATCTGATCTGAATGATTCTGATCTGATCTGATCTGAATCTTTCTGATCTGGTCTGATCTGGTCTGAATGTCCCTGATCTGATCTGAATGTTCCTGATCTTATCTGAATGTTCCTGATCTGATCTGAATGTTCCTGATCTGATCTGAATGTTCCTGATCTGATCTGAATGTTTCTGATCTGATCTGAATCCTTCTGATCTGATCTGAATCCTTCTGATCTGGTCTGATTTAAATATTTCTAAAATTATAATTATAATTTTAATTTTTATTATAATAATTAGAAATGTAATTACACATATATAATTTAAATATAATTATAATTATAATCATAATTATAAAAAAAATATAAATATAATTATAATAATTATAATAGGTATAATTATTATTATACGTATTACACTAGTTATAAATATAGCTATAATTAGAGGAAGCGGTCCAGCTCAGCTGGTCGCCGACTCACTCTCTATGGGAGGTCTCAGGTTCGAAACTCAATGGGGTGTGTTTCAACCTAGTTTACTTCAGCCCCCCAGACGTGAGTAAAGACGAGGAGAACAGCTTCTTAGACAGGAAAACTTCTAGGCTAGCTAAAGAGTGTGTTTTTTTATTCTTAAGGCTAGATCAGAGAGCGGTTTTATGATCCTTCTAAAAAATCGAAGCTTAGTTTATCAAGTTACCTAAGCTATAGTTGTAAACTAATACAAGTATATCCATTTAGAGTTAAGACAATTTCAGTAATAGAGGAGCAAGAAGAGAATAAAATCTACATTAGAGTCATCATGAGTACAGTTCCTCATACATGTTGCATGCCTCCGGTAGTACTTGAACTTTTCTGCCATCTGCATACAAAAGTAGAGCCCTGCAATCTTAAAATGTTCACAATTTCGAAGAAAATTTATGGGATTAGAAAACTTTAACATATCAGTTGATTCATGAGCATCAAAATGTTTCGTGGTAAAGCTGTACGAAGTATATTATGTTCTATGCCATTTCTAAAGGGGGAAACAGATTACTGGACATCTAAACTTTTTCAATTTATTCTATTGAACTCCTAACCTTCTACTTTGTTTTACACTTTTCTTGAACCCATGTACTTCTCAAATCTAGCAAATTGAACTCACGTAAAGACCAAATTGTTGAATGATGCACAAATATTATCCACCAAGTACTTTCTATTTATGTTATGTTTATCGTCAAGTTCAGATCCTTTGTCATAACAGGAATAAAAAAAAGTCATAAACAGGTTAACTTATTCATTTTTGTTAAGCAAAAGCAATTGACAAACTCGTAGAGATAGAGCTCTGTAGTTTTGTTTGTTCACAAAAAAGTGTTCATCGATTACAAAAGTGAGCTGAATGCCATTAATTATTCAAAAAGTGCCATGACTCAATTACTCCAAATAAAATGTATGTGGCTCTACATAAATAGTAATAGAGTAGATTTTATATTTATGTATTATTGGGGACTCCTTTTGTAATTATGACATTTATTCTCCTTATATATATCTGTCAGGGCTACCATTATGGTTAAGCCTGGTAATTATTCTCACATGGTATCAAGAGCCAGAACTCTTCTACCCTAAATTTTTTTTTTCGGCCGTTTCTTTCCCAGCCGAATGTCTTCTTCTGATTTTACCACATCAGCCGCAGTCGGTTCCTCCACTGCCGACGATTTGTCATCCTCCATGTCAGCGCCTCTTCACATGTCTGCGGCAGCGACTGGAGGCGTGGTTTTTCCGATTAGACACAGTTCGTCCGCAGAAGGGTCCTCATCATCCGCTGCCTTCTTCTCTCCGGTAATATCTCAGATTCCCCTACAGCCATCCTCTCATCTTCTCTCTGTCTCGGATGGGCTTGGATGGGTTCCACCGGTGTTCAATTGGTCTCCTACCAGGCCAACGATTCACTCTTCTCCGGATGGTCGTCCTCCAGCAGCGCCTCTCTTCTCCAGCAGCCGGGTTCCCTACATAGAGAATTCCGGTTCAAGCTTCGCCGGTCCGACTCTTGCTGGCGCGCCAGGAATTGCGCCTCTAGCTCCTGCTAATTCCCTTGGTCCGATAGCTCCACGGCCTGCTATCGTCTATCCAGGTTTTAGCTTGTCTGAATTAGATAAAAGTATTGGGTTTTCGGCGCTTAATATCACTAATATTGTTACTGCCAAACTTGCTGCTGTTGAGGATTACTTGACTTGGCGTACTCAATTTGAGTCATTCTTGGTGTCTAATGGTTTCTTGGGAATTTTAGATGGTTCCATTCCTGCTCCCTCCCCATCTGTTTGCTACTTTATCTCGTGATGTGTTGATTGAAGTTCGTGAATTGCAAAATGACTTTGCTATCTGGAATCGCTTGGAGTCTCATTTTATGTCTGCTAGTCTTGCCCAGTCCATGGAACTGAAACGTCAACTTACACATTCTAAGAAGCGTTCAAATAAGCTATAATAAGTCTTTCCTTAGAAAATATATAAACACGATATGCAACCTCACCTTATTTATTCTTTAATTTAATCAGCTATCTCAATAGCAAATATTCCAGCAGCTGAAACTCTCATTTGCGAGTCTTCTAAAATGTGTGTAGGTTGCGCGCCTGCTGGAAAGCCAATTCAGCCAACTTCTTAACTTGCACCTAAAAGTAATCAACAAAATTTGTTGCAAAGCATCACAGAATATGTGACAGAAGTATTAACTAAGGAAAACTATAAGAACAACCAACTCGGCAGTTTCATTAAGAACTTAGCCTTATGGTTTTGACAGCTTCCAAAATTGGAAAACCTCCCGCTTTTATCAATGCTTTAAAATAGAGCTGCTTTTCTGTGTCTTAGAAGCTGCAGAGTGAATCGGTAAACAAATTCAAATTGTTCTTCAAATGCTATGGAGTATTTAAAAAGTAATAAGGGAACATGACATAAATCCTGGACTAAATAAAAAAAATGATAGGGAGATTCGCAATCTAGTCCGGTAGCTTTAGGTTGTTACCGTTATTAGTCTTGAACTTTAATCACTTACAAATTTGGTCCTATAACTAATACATCTTTGCAATTCAAGGACTATTCCACCGGAAAGTACTCTTTCCGGCAGAAAAATCTGACGCCGCGACACCTTTTCCGGTATACTATCACCGGAAAGTGTACTTTTCAAGGGGAACATCCTTAAATCGCAAATATTTATTAGTTACAGGACCAAATTTGCAAGTGGCTAAAATTACGGGACTAATAATGAAAATGGCCAAATGTTACGAGACGAAAATTGAAAATTTCCAAAAAATGATATCAGAAAAAACTTTTTGTACTGGTTCCAAGAGAGAAAAGTTTACTAATTCACTAATTGTACATTAATAATGATACGAGATATAAACTTAAATAAATGATTTTTATATATCATCTTACGAAGAAAAATGTAGGGGTGAGACCGGTTCAGTTATTTAAAGAAAGTTAGGAACCTTTTGAAGAATCGTTAATCCAATATCGATTCGGTTCTTGAAGTTTTTAGAAAATTGGATATAAGAATCAATAGTATTATATCGGTGCAATTCTAGTATGTTATCAGTTAATCATTAAGCAAAAAAATATTTTAACTATTGTTATGCTTCGTCATTTAACTGCTAACACATAAAAATATAATTTCAATTTAATAAATATTTAACCGTAAATAAGTAAACAAAACTTAACAAGCTAAAAATGAAAACAAAACAATTATTAATTTAAGAAGAAAAACTCAATTGCACCTATGCTCGTACCGAGTTTGTTGAGCATTCTTGAAACTTTAGTTTTCATATTAATAAAAAATAAATTTTGCATGTTTATGCTTCATTTATTCTTGTATAGAACTCTGCTTTGCTAGATGAACTACATGTGTTTCATTTTTTTATTTACTTGTTTCTCACTTTCTTATCAAATTATACAAACGAAATTGCTCACAGTATGACTAAAATTTAGGAGTAGCATTTTTTCCAAAGTATGATCATGTGTTTGATTTTCATTAAATAGGACTAAACATTACATTTCTACCCCTAATTTAATTAATATAATTAAATGCCCCTAGTTCCCTTGCATAACCAAAGTCATTTTGTTGGTGGCGGATCAGTCAGATGACGGCGGCGGTGAACTCCGGGTGAAGATTCCGACGACCGGGAGCGGCCGTCTAGATTTACAAGTATATGGACTTTTTGAAAGATTATAAACTTATCCATTGATTTAAAAGTCAATAGAATTCATTCTTCAAAAGTCTATGGACAGGGCCGGCCCGAACATATTAAGGGCTCTGTTCAAAATGCAATTGGAGACCCTTAAACATAAAGTATACGTAGTATAAATTTAAACAAGCAGTAGCAAAGTGTAAGAACATTTTGGGATAACATAAACATAAAATATACTACCTTCGTCCCTTTTATTTAGCCATTTTTTACTTTTCTAGTCAAAAATTATAAATTTTAACCCATTATTTTGACTAATATATGTATGTGAAACTTAATAGATTTATACTTTTATGATAATATTTTTAACAAAGAACATTTTTATATAATTTTCATAATAGCAATATTACCGTGTATAAATATATAATCGGTCAAAATTTAACATCATTAACTTGAAAAATAGTGTCTCACTAAATAAACAGGAAGGAAGTGCATAGTATTATTTTATTTTCCTAATAAAAAAACAACAAATAACTCCCCCAAAAAATAGTAGCCGTGTTCAAAAGAGTCAGGCTACTACTCAAGCACATTAAGCTTTAAAGACCTAAAAACATAGTACATAGTACATATCTCCGTGCTGAATATAATACTATCGTATGTAGTAGTAATACTTTAGATACATAGCTAGATAAAATATTGAGTGCGGAACAGTGCAGATTGCTATTTGGAAAGTCTGGACTTCTCCCTCTGCCTCACTTCGAATTCATACTTTAGCAGAAAACT